CTCTCTCTCTCTCTCTCTCTCTCTCTCTCTCTCTCTCTCTCTCTCTCTCTCTCTCTCTCTCTCTCTCTCTCTCTCTCTCTCTCTCTCTTCCTTGCCTGCCATCCACTGCCTGTTCCTATCCCAGCTTTCCACGCCCCTTCTTCTTCACCTTCCGCTCTCTCTCTCTCTCTATCCCTTATACTCTACCCCAGCATCGCCTTTATCATTTCGATTCCCTGTACTCTTAGATGGAGTTTCTTTGTATCTACTTCAACCTACCGCATATGATTCCCCGTGACCGGCAGCGACGGTGTTACATCATGTTTTCGAAGGACTTATATCCTTAGAAGAAGTTTCCGGATTGAGCTCGGCGACGGCGGATTTTCGACTTCACACTAAGATGAGTGGCTTCTTCCATGTAGAAATTTGTTGTCTATCTTCTGCGCCACCTATTTAACTCCTGTAGTTGTAGCATTAGTCATATGGGTCCCTAGCGATGCCCCTGATGATAAATGGTCGATCGGCGCCATTCGAAGTATGTCGGGCTGTTGCGGACTAACCACCCGCCATGTGATCTAGGCCTTGTGTCTGGTTACCATGTTGGTTGGTTTTCGTGCTCAATGATGATATTTAATCTTATCGCTCAGGCTTCAAGACTCTTTTTTGCTACTACTGGTTTTGGATTCTCCCTCGTTCCCTCCCTGACTATTTTTCCTTATCCTTCCTACCTCTATCCGTTCCATCGAAAAATGTACCCTGCCCTTGTACCTCTTCAAATTCTAATTCTTCTTCTTCCTCCTCACCTGCTGCGCTAATAGCTTCTGTTTTTTCTTATGTTTGTCCCATGCTTATCTTCATCTTGATGCATCCTTTCATATGAGTTCGTTGTGGTCTGCTTCTCCTCCGGTTGATTATCTAACCTTTGCGCTCGCTGTATTGGCATAATGGAATGGCATAACGTCCTCCTCTGGATTCTGGATGCTATTATTTTCTGGCTACGACTGTTTAGGATTTTCACTTAAATTTCCTATGGCACTTTACGCTATGCTATCGCTAAAACTAGAAGAGAAGAGGATAACAGACGGCCCGGAAACTCTAGACGATATCCTCCCTGGTGAACTTTGAGCTCCCTCCTTGTCTCCCTTCTTTCTTCAATATTCTCACCGTTATTACGTGAGATGAACTGCGCTTCGGCTATGCTCTAATTACTTCATGCGGCTCAGGCAATAACCTTTGTAGAAATTACACTACAGTAGAGTGGTTGCTGGGTTATTCGACTGTCTTCTGTCATCATTTGTTCTCATTTTTTGTCATCATTTTTTCTCATTTTTTATCACTTGTTGTTTGTCGTCTATCATTTTCGTCTTGCATTTGTTCTTCTACCTTTGTCTCGTTCCTTTGCCCTCTGTTTGTTTGCCCTGTAGTCGTCCGCTGTTCACGCATAATTTTCCTTCCGTTCCTTACCCCCACCATCTGGTAAGTCTTGTTTAACCCCAGTTCGTTTCATCTTGTTTGCTGTCCACTCATCCTTCGTCATTCGTTCCTTTCGTCCAAACCTCGACACTTACTTTCTATCTTAACGACTCCTGGTCTTTTCCTTCAGACACCTCACCCTTCTCATCCACCTATTATCGAAGTCCTTTCTAGTGAAATTTCTGACTCTCGCCTGTTCCCGTGTAATTGTTTGCAGGATTCAACTATCTATTTCCCTCTTGCTTTGGGAAAAATGTCGGCACCCAGGCTTTGTTTCAATTGTAATATATCGGGCCATTTTGCGCAAGATTGCCCTTATCGTCAGCCTTCCTTGTCTCAACAGCCCCAGACATCTGCGTTCCCGCCTTTGTCCCCACCTCCCTCTATTTTGAACTCTTCCATGCTCTCCATTTCGCAGGCACCGCTGCTCGCACTACCCCCACCCCCCTCTGCTCAATCCGCAAACCCAAACCCCAATTCTAACTTCTCCACAGGCCAAGTCATGGTTCCCAAGCAATCTTGGTGGAAGCTAAACCAAGAGAAGCTGGACAGAGTATTCGAATTCATGGCTTCAGAACTTGAAGCCAGACAAGAAGCAATTCGTGAGAAGGAAAAGCTACTGAAGGAAGAGGAAGAGAAATGTAAGGCGAAGGAGGCTGAGGAGAAAGCACTGCGCAAACGCAAGGAGAGACAAGACTTCGAAGAACGGATCGGATCGATCGTCGGCTCCAAGATCAATCATGCTTGTGAGCTGTTTTGGGGGAGGTCTGACACGCAGAGACATGTGTCAGCACCAGATGCTTCTCGTAGATCTCACATAGAAGTCGAGCGTGAACGACTTGAGAAGCAGGTGGACACACTGCGTCGTGAGTATGAGACCATTAAGAAGAATATGGACGAGCTTTCTCGAACTGTTAAGCTGTCGGGGAATACCTTGAAGAGGTCGGGTGCTGGAGTTTGCATCGCCAGCCCACCTGAGGCTCCTGCTAGAGGCAAGGCGAAAGTGGTCGGCGTCGAGACTCCTACCTCCGATGACTTCCAAGAGTTATTGAAAGCATTCCATACTGTCAAGGAAGGGAAGCGAATCGCTGATATGGAGGTGCAAGCACTTAGAGAAAGATTTGAACGTGCGGTTTCGAAGCTGGTGAGGTAAGGACGCACTCCTCGCTCCAATCTCTCAAGAAGAATGAAAGAGGCGCTAGATGATGATGACCAGGATGCTCAAGAGATACATGAAGAGGGTCTGGACGATCTTACCTTGCGACCATCTCCACCGAAAAGAGCCTCTAAAAGACTCGCTTCCAAGAACGCTGCAACGGAGCGAGCTGAGTTCCTGAAGGAGACCAAAAAGTATCTCAAACGCCTGAAGAAGCATGGGCTGCAGATTCTTTGCGGCAAGGAAGGGATAACGTTTGTTACCTGCGAACAAGCCATCAACGAGATAGCTGAACTACGAGCATCCCTAGCCTTCGACCTTCGTCCACAACCAAGGCCGGCTCGCCAAGCCCGAGATTCTGAAGCTGAAGAACCCAAAGAAGATGACCAAGATAGGCTTGATGAGCAAGCCATGCAGCACGTCGACATCGATGAAGACTAACCTATCGTGCGAGAATAGGGGTTTCGTCTGAGCGATAGGTCGTTCTGGAACCTCCTCAATGCATGTCTTATATTTCGCACGTCCAAGATAGGACTTCTAGATCCTCATCTTAATCATTTGTTGAGACTCATTGTTGTCGCTCTCATCCTTTCAAAGCAAATTCCTTGCGGTTGGAAATTCTTGGACTCTTTGATGCATCTCCTTGAATCTGGTTATGACTTCTTCACTTCTCCCGGTCCAGTCGTGTATTGTTTGATTTCCCCGTTCATGAAACACTGCTATATAGGATGTACTAGTCGTTCCTTGGATCGAAGGTGGTCTGAGCACGTTCACCGCACCAACTCCTTGGATGTCTCCTCTGGGGCTGTACGTAATCATAGGCTTTATACATGGCTACGTAGGGCAGGAATGCATAATTATGTCGCTCTACCTTTGGCTATATCCCAGACCTCAGACCTGCTGCGTGCCGAATCCAAACCCATAGGTTGGGCGTCTCATATCTGAATAGCAGACCAGCCAGCAATAGAAGGAAGAAGGGTAGACTCTGCCGACCAGGTAAGCGTGAGAGACACAGAGCGGCCAGGAAAACTCGTGCTCAGGCTCCTAAGGAGGAACTACTAGATTGTGGCGGTCAACCTCATGACCGTAGATTAGGTTTCTATGTTACTTCGGTCGGTATCTCGTCTATCTCCTTGATGGATATCCTTAATGAGTGTGTCCGGTCGGGCATTAGGTCATTTTTTGCAGTTTCGAAAGGCGGACACATTTTACCTGATTCTTGGAAGGTTTTGAAGTGTGTCTTTGGTGCTTCAGTAGTTACAAGTAAGTTTGGTAGGGATCAACTTAAGCATTGCAAAGCATGGTTTGAAAATGGGTGTGCATTTAAGATAGAATCTGTCTCTAAATTTTGCTCACGTTCCGAGTCCTTGAAAATGTCTGTTTCTCGTCTTCTTAGTCATCCGTATGAAAAAAAGGATCTGTATAAGTGGTCGTTCGATAATTTAATTTTTGCATATAATGTGGCCAGATGTTTTTTTAAGAACACTTCAAGACAGTCGCTCCGTGCTATCTTATCTAGCACCATTCGACGCAAGTTTGGTATTTTCCCTCGACGACGACTCGTTTTTCGGATTAAATACTCCGACAAGCTCTCAAAATCGGTCGTTCGTCATTTGTTTGCTCGCCTCATTCGTTAATAAAAAATTCCTTCCTCTTTGGTCAGTATGCTCTCACGACGTATGCGGGTAGTATGGACAAAAAACAGGAGTGTAGCTCAGTTAGTACATAACTTCCGCTCCTTCTCACGACAACCCACCATGCCCTGTTCCTGTGATCAGATTCGCGGTCGCTTCTCTGACCTCATCGTACCTAAGACAAGCAATCCTATGTCTCACTCCGACCCCCGCCTCTCCTCAGCTTATTGCTCCCGTCCAGAGATGGACATATCGCCCTTAGATCCAAGGACTCTATCATACTCCCTTCATGGCTCCTCAATTCCGGCAATATTCCTCCCTCCTCCATATGCACTCCAAGTCTCCTACGCTCGCAACTTCTTCGCACCCTCAGCAAGATTCCCTCCCTTCCGCCGACACACCCAATCTTCTCTATTTCAACCGCCTCGCTTAAATCCTTCTTCAAGCAACGCATTCCCAAGCTTGTCTCATCTGCCAGTATCCCTTCTTGCTGTCCCTGCCTTTCTACTCCGATTCCCTTTGCATCTGATTACACCTCTTCACTTCCCGGCTGCCTACAAGATCTGCGCACGTTACCTTTCATTCCCTCGAGTGTCTCCAAATGAAAAAACTTATTCAATGGTCTAGTATCCGTACCCGTGGATCATAATCCCGGTGATACACTGTTCTGTTGTCCTGTCATTTACCAACAGGGAATGAAAATGCTATTCTTACAAAACCCTGGTTTCTGTATCGTGAAAGATAAAGATGAGGCTATGATTCTGGAAGAGTATCGGGCGAAGTTTTGTGATTCTCACTTTGGTTCGATTGGCAATTGGAACAAGAAAAGGTGTTTGGGAAGGAGCTACGCCATACCCAAACATAAGGACATACGCAAGTGGCGTCCAATTTGTCCCACTTCATCTGAACCATCGTTCTTGGCTTGTAAACGAATTACAGCCTGCCTTAATATACTCGTGAAGAACCTGACTACAATGTCGCATTTCAACTTGTTTAGTATGAAGGAGTTAGTACCAACCTGACACTCTCATCAGCGTAAGTTTTGATGTTAAAGAAATGTTTAGTAGATTGCCCCATGCCTCCATCCGAGATGCAGTACGGTGGTTCTCTCACTGCTTCAAGTTCCGAGGATATGATGGAGTCTGGGTTAAAAAGAGAGGGAAAGGAGCCAGACTCTCTTCCAGCAAGTCTATCATAGATTGGAAATTTATAAGCTTTGCTACAATTGAAGAGTTTGTTGACTTCGATCTTCAGCACACGTATGTCATGGTCATGGACAATTTACTCAAACAGAATGTTGGAGTCCCAATGGGTAAATCTTCCAGCCCTGCTCTGACAGCTATGTTGTGTATGTTTAACGAATTCCACTTTCTTTGCTTTCTAGGGAAGGATCGTGCTTTGATTCATGGCGTAAGATTGGTGGATGATGTGTCCATCTTCATCAAGTACAAGCAGGGTGAACAATGGTCACGACGAAAGGCCGACTGCATTCTTCACCGGTTCAGAAGATGTTACGATAGCAACTTGACTTTAGAAGAAACCAGTTCCGGTGGAAGATGGGACTTTTTGGGCTGCCAATTAAAAGTTTTTCCACAGTCGATGAGCATACGCTGTGCCCCTACTCATCGTAATCAGGCTGCCATGCTTGCTTCGAATACATTTTCCTTTCAGGCGATTCAGGATTTCTCTTCCTTTTCTAGCAAGCAACAGAAGTTCGCTACCATCAGTTCATTTTTGCATCGAGCTAGAACCTTCGCTACCATGCCCCTTGCGGAGTTAGCCTTCCTCTTCACACTAAAGAAGGAACTTAGGTTGAGAGGATACCCTGATCATTATTTCGATACTGCTCTCTCGGCCTTTTCTCGAAAATTTTCTGATTGTTGGAAGGACAAGGTGTATTGCCGGACTAATTGGAAACAATTCTTCTGATGGAGTCCGTGGTAGGTAGCAGCGGGAAACAGGTTTCTCAAAGGTGTTTAAAAATAGGGGGTTCGATAGATTACTATGGTTTGTAACAGGATCAGTAAGTAATATGAATTGAGGCCTAAACGTGTTTTTTCTAAGGCCCTTTTTTTACGCCAACGGAAACAAAAGGCTTGTTGCGCTCGAAATTAAGAGGGTCCTGCAAGGTTGTCTGTCTATATTGTCAGTTATGAGACGGCTACCGTGCGTGAATATTTTTGTGACTCTCCCCACGGTACCCATTATTTATTCTCTGCCCGCTCATTCGTTTTCATCTTTTGCCTGGGCCGGTCTCGCAAGATCAGAACCACTACATTGTCTCACTGTCGCTCCCGCCACTAAACCCGCCATCTTCTTTCTCTAAACTCTGTCCTTCTCCTCCGGACGATTTGATTCCTTGCGCAGGACACTGTCTCCCCTTTACCCGCTATCTACCGACCTTTCCCTTTCCTCTTCCTTTCGCTCATCTGTTTACCTTCCCACGTCCGATTTCTCTATCCATCATTATCTTTTTACCCGTGCACTCTCTCTTTCTCTCTCTCTCTCTCTCTCTCTCTCTCTCTCTCTCTCTGCTTTCTTCCTTGCCTGCCATCCACCGCGTGTTCCTATCCCAACTTTCCAAGCCCCTTCGTCTTCCCTTTCCGCTCTCTCTCTCTCTATCCCTTCTACTCTACCCCAGCATCGCCTTTATCATTCCGATTCCCTGTACTCTTGGATGGAGTTTCTCAGTTTCTACTTCAGACTACTGCATATGATTCCCCGTGACCGGCAGCGACGGTGTTACATCATGTTTTCGAAGGACTTATATCCTTGGAAGAAGTTTCCGGATTGAGCTCGGCGACGACGGATTTTCGACTTCACACTAAGATGAGTGGCTTCTTCCATGTAGAAATTTGTTGTCTATCTTCTGCGCCACCTATTTAACTCCAGTAGTTGTAGCATTAGTCATCTTGGTCCTTAGCGATGCTCCTCATGATGAATGGTCGATCGGCACCATTCGAAACATGTCGGGCTGTTGCCAACCAACCTCCCGCCATGTGATCCAGGCCTTGTGTCTGGTTACCATGTTGGTTGGTTCTCGTGCTCAATGATGATATTTAATCTTATCACTCAGGCTTCAAGACTCTTTGTTGCTACTACTGGTTTTGGATTCTCCCTCGTTCCCTCCCTGACTATAGTTCCTTATCCTTCCTACCTCTACCCGTTCCATCGAAAAATGTACCCTGCCCTTGTACCTTTTTAAATTCTAATTTTTCTTCTTCCTCCCCACCTGCTGCGCTAATAGCTTCTGTTTTTTCTTATGTCTGTCCCATGCTTATCTTCATCTTGATGCATCCTTTCATATGAGTTCGTTGTGGCCTGCCTCCCCTCCAATTGATTATCTACCCTTTGCGCTCGCTGTATTGGCATAATGGAATGGCATAACGTCCTCCTCTGGATTCTGGATGCTATTATTTTTTGGCTGAGTGTTTAGGATTTTCGCTGAAATTTCCTATGGCACTTTACATTATGCTATCGCTAAAACTAGAAGAGAAGAGGATAACAGACGGCCCAGAAAGTCTAGAAGATATCCTCCCTGTTGAACTTTGAGCTCCCTTCTTGTCTCCCTTCTTTGTTCAATATTCTCACCGTTATTACGTGAGATGAGCTGCGCTTCGGCTATGCTCTAATTACTTCATCCCCTATCAATCAATCAATCAATCAAAAAAGAAAAAAAAAGGCCGGGTTCGAGAGTGGTACTTCCCACTTTTTTTTTTTTCTTTTTTTCTCTTTTTTGATTAATTGATTGATTGATTGATTGATTTGTAGGGGATGGGTCTGGGTGGGGGGTGGTGGGGCGACCCATCCCCTACCAATCAATCAATCAATCAATCAACCAATTAATTAATCGAACCGTTTTTTTTTTTCAATCAATTACGTAAACGAACCCCAAGTTAAACTGCGACAGGTTCTTACTGCAAAGGCTACTCTTCTAAAGTATAGTCGTAACATAGGGGAGTAATCTTTCTTCTAGCTGGCTGAGTGGCTGATCAACTTACTGCCCTTATGTAAAGGCAAAAAAAAAAAAAAAAAAAAAAAAAAAAAAACGATCGATTACGTAATCGGTCAGTTTCAGAAACTGACCGATTAGTTTCAGAAACTGACCGATTACGTAATCGGTCAGTTGTTGAAACTGAATAACTGCAGTTGTTCTCGAGACCGCCGGGGGAATGCGCAACTTTTCTGGAACTGATGCACTTGATCTTATACTGACGAGGGAATTTTTTTATCAGATATTAAACTGATGAGAACAGTTACTACACTTGATCTTAGCCAAGAGGGGGAAGGCGGGGGAATGCGCGGGAGGGAAGCCGGGGAATGCCCGGGAGGGAAGCCGGGGAATGCACAGGAGGGAAGGCGGGGGAGGGATGGCGGGGGAATGCGCGTGAGGGATGGCATGGGATTCCGCGGGAGGGAAGGTGGGGC